GACCCAGAAGGCAAATTAAAAAACAACGAAAGTCGAAGGCGAGACGCGAGATACACTGAGCGGCTCAGTCGGCATTGGTAGACTACGTACACGGAAGAAAAGAGTTGCATATTGCGAGAACCAGGAGCCACAGTATTTACTCTCAGAAGACGAGACAACTGCCCGAAAAGTCAAATACAAAACAAACCTTTCCCGTTGAACGCTTTTTCTCCTTCTGACGTATCACCCGGGAATCGAATTTTCACTACCATAAAGGTGTATTTTTTACGGAAAATATAACGAACTTTGGCAGTCGCGCGAGATTTTTAATCAACTGTGATTGAGTTGTGGCGTATTTTAAAGAAAATATGCATTCTTGGATGCGCTCGAATTGAGAAAATGCTCCTATTGGAGTGAGATGTTGGAGTCTTTCTTGAGTTCATGATCAGGAGTATGTGGCAAGTGAAGAGCGATGTCTTTAAAGCATGAAATTTAACCAGTGCGACCGCTGGTTTAGGGTCTTCGTTCTCGACCGTAACTTATCCGATGTAGATAGCCGATTTTAATTGGGCTGTCAGTACCCACCCTGGGCCTGTTGTGCCATGTTACCAGTCTTCTTCGAACTCCTACTCCTCCATCCACTAATTTGGCAATGGTTTTGGGTTTACGTTGAACCTGAGGGTTCATGTCTCCGCAAACGATCACACAGTAACTAGCAATTAATAGCCGGAAAGGTGTGTCGACAAAGGTGGGGATGCTGAAATGGTTAATTCTGACCAATGATATTTGGACCACGGTCTGTATGTCCGAGGTTCAAGCACCACTCTCATCACGGCACTACAGGTTCACTGACCGGAGTTTGAGTCTCTGGCGCGCCGCCTGAACTTAAGACATCAGGGGGTTCCTGGCAGCAAATAAAGCTGACTTGGTCATGTGAGTATCCATCTACTATATATTCCTTGTTCATTGTTTAAATTCCCAGGTCATTCATTCTCTTCGAAAAATATAAATCCAAGCAGACCTTACAAAAAGGGAAATAAAAAGGTTAAAATTTCTTTGTCCGGGGCAAAAGCTTGACACTGCAAACAGCTTAGGCCATCTGCACTGCAGTTAAACTTCACCAACAACCTAAGCCTACCCTTTGAATGCAGTGTGCCTCTTTTTAGTTCAATAAAAACTAGCTCTATGAAAGGTAGACGTGGTTCCTCTTAATGAAAATATACCAAACTGATCATTTTTAAATTCTTTTATCTCACCAGAACCTGTATGCCTTCAATACTCGATCTATCGGCCAGAGGTTGGCTGTTGAACTGGTAAAGTCGGCAGAAGGTGGTTTTGGCATAAGTTTTGCCACAAGGGACACAATGGTTAGCCCGACAATGGATGAACCGATTTTCATTGACCGGATTATGCCCACTGGATCTGCCGTTCAGGATGGCAGACTTCAGGTAGGTTGGCATCCTTCTCTCT